CGGTTGAGGCGTCAGTTCAATGGTCTATTGTGGTGTCTCGACTCACATGTCGTTACCATCTTGTTTGACTTTCGGGAGCTCGATATGCGAGAGAACGGGGTCTGGGGGTTTATGCCTCAACGACAGAATTCAAGACATCCATGCCCAAGATTTCAAGTTCCAAGACTTGGGCCTCCCTTCACATGCGTGCTTACAGCATCAGAGACTTGGACATAAGACATACCCAAACGGGTGGCTTAAAACACAGAGGGCCTCATGTTCTTTAAGGGAACTAAATTTCTGTAGGCGGGCCAGTCTGGCGTATAGTTTTGAATCACTCTGACCGAGACGATGGATCTCTTGGCATCCGTAGTTCGTACCGATGACATTTTATGCAGAGCTTCGTGGCATTTCTTGACCTTGAGTGCTAGACATCTGGCGTTGGAAGTGCATGCATCCGGCACGCCCTGATCAGAGAATCTGTTTTCTTAGGGTCTGCAGACATGGAAGACAACAATTTATATAAGACGTGTACATGATTAGTATGTTGCAGCTGTTCCGATTCTGTTCTTTCCATTGTGGCCACTTGCTAGAGTACCTGTATCAAGTTGACGGCCATCTGAGAATGAATGAAGGCACTCATAACAATGATGGACTACATGGGCATTGCTTTCTCTGAACCCTTTTTTGTCCTAGATTTATCAACTGCACCACCTCTCATGAAAACAATTGTATGAAGGAACTCGATCTTTGTAATTCGAGCCCGTCAGAGTCCAAGTTAAATGTTGACTACCCTTGTCAACTCAACGACGAACAAAGAAAACCGGACCCGGCAACTCCCCCATGCGAAGATCGCAGCAACGTGGACCAGAGGGGAGTCCATAATGAGTTGGGTGTAGAGCCAGGGGGGGTGTGCAGCCGGCGCACCTAGCCTCAAAGCTGGAGACGAAGATTAGACGCCAACGCCCCTCTCAGCCAAGGCAAGGCAAGTCAGTCATGACAAAACAGGACCAGCCAGACAGGGCCGCGGCTGTGCAAGGCGATGAGTGAGTGAGAGAGACAAGAGCGTTGCGGTGTGCGTCGTTATACAGCAGTTCATCCGCGCAGCAAAAGATGGTGTTGAGCTATAACCCCGGCTTCAACTATGACAGGTGCCAGATCGGTTTGGTCATTGCGGATGGCTGTCTCGACAGTGCTGCTGAGGCCATAGTGGCATGGAATCGCATGGCATGGCAAACCATGTTATGGCTTCTGTCGTAACAGTGGGTTGGCCGGAAGACAGTCGACTTGATCAAGACCGAACTCAGAATAACCTCACTTTGCAGCTCCGTATTGGGCCAGCTCATTGAGCATGATGCGCTCTGCATTGTATTGACTCAACCTATATTTTCTTTTTCTGCTTCATCTTTTCTCAGTGTCATTTTCCATGTTCCCACACTAGGCTCTTCTCGTCTGGGTATCTCTTGGAAAAGACGGAGACATTGGAAGCGCAGAACCAACACCCAACGACTAATACTAACCGCATAGCCAGCAATGCGATGCTTCTCCAACGTTTATCCCCGGCCCGTTGATGTCCTCTGCCTTACTACCAAACGCATCGACTCCACTCACCTTACTTCTTCATATTCGTCGATAGACACGCCTTCAGATACCCCTGTCATCGCGATATTGCTGCCGACACCCCCTCCCCATGTTCCTCGATGCCTGCTCCTAGACCATCCTGTTCGTTCAAGCTCGTGCTTCTTGATGGATTTCTTCGTCACATAGGTACATTATAGGTCAGGCTTCCTGCTAAGACGCACATTGTTCACCGTTTCGCGGAGATGCAATCAGACCCTGATTTCCTCACTGCATTTTCCTCTCCCCACACCGTTACGTTGTTGCTGTGTCGCCTCTTTTCGACCCGACAAGTTATTTTGGACCTTGAGTCTAATAATATTCTCCGGGCTCAACTTTCTTTTCTTTTTCGATTCTTCCAGAGTCCACTTCTTGGTCTTATTCAGCTTGGGCTCTCATCCACCTCCGGTTCTTCTGCCTGGACCTCGGTCAAGACTAACAACACAAGAATAGGAACAGGAAGAAGCAAGGCGGTCCGTAACGTGGGTCCATATCCTGCGCATAAGTAACATCTCCTGGAGGTTATACTAAGTTAGTAGGGGCCCAGCGGAAGATCTGACCGAGTTTTCTCTTACCTTACTCAAAGTGAAAGACTCTCGAAGATCTTCTTTTTGCCTCCTACCTATTGCCATCTCATCTATTCTCTACACTCCCCACGGCTTTCGACTACAGCTTCTGAGATAACAAGCCTTACCTTGGCCTCATTTACCTCGATTGGCGCCCCACGACTTGCTCTGCCTCACCATACCATCCTATTTGAATCCATTGGCTGGAGAGAGCCCTGGACATCACCAATCACATTGCCATCTGCCCATCAACTCCTTGGAGCCACGCTTTATGATCTGAACAACCATCACTGTTGCCTCCCGAGACAGTTCTTTCTCCTTTTGCATCTTTGTGGCAACCCGGTACCTGACAGAGCCCAACTGTGTCGATACCTAACCCAGCTGCCCACCACTACGCATCAGTCAATACGAGAAGGCCTCCATTACTACACTCCAAGTCTTATAGACACTAAGGGCGACAGCAACACAAGTGACTTCATTCCTGGAGGTTTCAAGAGCAAACTAATTACCTCGCCTCGATCTCACGAACATAGTTCACGCACCTACAGCCGATTCAACCATCTGTACAGTGGAAAGAAACATAGGGGTTTCGTGACCCCCGATATACAACGCTTTTAAGCAGCACCAGGCTTCTCGGAGCCGCTGCAACAGACATTTCTTCACCAACACGACCAGAGAAAGTCGCCGAGCTGGCCCAACTCAAGAACGAGTCTCCACTCTGCCTCTTGCGGGCAGAGTTACCGCCATCCATCGTGGGTGTAGAAGACCGTCTCGAGCGGGGGCGCACGCCTCGCTCATATGCTAACGGTCCATACGCGGGAAGACTGGATGGTCAGACTGTCGCGTTAGACTTTGCTGCTCTTCTGAAGGCATCCGGATCTCATGAGCCTCCTGCCTCGCCGCTTCATCAGACCCAGCCTGTTCCAGCTCCCACTTATCAACCATTTCCTCCCAAGGCATCGCCAGCTCCACCACGGCCTGTTGCGCATGTGGCGCCACCACCGCAGGTAGTTTCGGCACAGATGTCTGGAAGACGCGGCATGCACCCCCATGCTACAGATCAGCCACCCGTGAAGAAGCAGAGCAAGTGGTCACCAGAGGAAGATGCCCTCATCATCGAGCTTCGAGGGCGTAACATGAAGTGGGAGGATATCTCAAAGCGTCTGCCTGGCCGGAGTGCCATCAGCTGCCGCCTACACTACCAGAACTACCTCGAAAGACGAAGTGAATGGGATGAAGAGCGCAAGAATAAACTTGCCAGACTCTACGAGAGGTAAGGGGGTGGTATAAGCCATTGGCTTTTTAGGAAACATACTGACAGGACTTCAGGTTCAAACCAGAAATGTGGGCAAAAGTTGCAGAAGAGATGGCGGTGCCCTGGCGAGCAGCAGAGGCCATGCATTGGCAGCTTGGTGAGGCAGATATGGCTAGACGTGCAGGCGTTATCCCTTTCTCTCTAGCTGCAGTCAATGTCGAGGGAAACAACAGTCACAGGAGCTCCCCCTCACGCAGCCACATCCACTCGCAGCCCCAAGTCAGCATGCCTCGCGATCTTGGGGTACCGTCGCCTCGAATTGTGTACAACAGACCTCCACCAATGCCTGCTAGTAGCCGAACTATGGTTCCCCGCCGAGAGTCGATTCCTCCGCCGCCTCCTTTGTCTATGGTTCCAGATCCTGCTGAAGCTCAGTATGTACCAGGGCCAGGTTTGGCACCGATCCAGAACCAGCCACCACCTCGAACAGCTGGTATGCTTCCTGGGGTCGCTGAACTTACTGGAGGAGTCAGCCCCTATAGTGCACCTGCTGCAGTGCCTAATATGGGACCTATAGCCGGGGTAGGTCAGGGCCCTCTGTATTCAACACTCGCCAGTTACTCGATGGAATCGGCCGGGTCCAAACGAAGAGCTTCTCCAGATGAATTTCCGCACGAGGCGAACCAGCGGCGCCGAATCATATAGCCTGCCATGCCTGAAGCAGCTGTACTATATGAGCGCTTGATGAGTGACTCTTGAGTCCTTCCGGGCATTTGCCTTGCATCTTGTCTCATACGGCGACAACGATTGGGTTATTGAGTGCGGTAGAGAATGTACGACTTTTATGATGGTGTTAAGAGCATGGGATTGCATAACTACACGGACAGGAACAGAACAACATTTTTTGACTTATGGGCAATCTATTGCCGGCGGGTCTGATTGGAGCATACCGAGGAACACAATAGCATATGGGTTTTAACGACAGAACGGGACGGATTGGACAGGATGGAATGTGGGCATGACTTATTAATGTAAAGAAAATCTTGTTGGGGAAACCATTGGTGTATTTTTTCTTCTTCTCATCTCGGTTCTTTGAGTTGTCTTTTTTATTATGTTCATGTATTACAATTTGCATTGGCCAGAGGCATCTGCATGGCAATGGATACTGGTTGTTTGAGGACCTAGCGATGGAAGCATCAGAAAGGGTGAGGTCAAGGATGATCTCAGGAAACCGGAGTTGAAAGAGAGACAGTGTTGTTTTGTTACACAGCGTTTGCATTTTCCCTGTTTAGTATCACTTTCCCATTGATAGACACATATGAAGATGTGATAGAGAAATTATCAGTATAGATGGAATGTATAGTTAGCGTTGTTACTCGAGTTGAGCAATACCTTGAATATTACCAGTTTGTAGACGGCCAAGTACTCTTCCATGGTTGGACAAGAGCGAGACATGCAGCGTAAATATTCGGTGAAAGATTCCTTTCAAGGTTGGTCACCAAACGCATAAGGTATCCGGGACTTTCTTTTTCGTAACGCCTATAAGATCTTGCCTTGCGCCGCAAGTTACCGTTGATGAGGTCTCACGACGGTCGACTACATACCACCCACCAGTTATCCTTCTCATAGCCGGTCTCTACAACGATGCCCCCAGCCGCCTTGACATCCTCCTCGAGCTCACCCTCCTTGTACAGGTGGTAATAGCGCTGGAACGTGCCTCCGGGTTCTTGACCTTTTGGCTTCCGCATCACCCACGACACAAGGCGATCCTGGTCACTGCTCGCGTCCCACCCGCGACGGCTTGACGCCTGCTCCAGAGCCCACACATAGACGAGCACACGGCCGGCTTGGGGAGTTACGAGTGCCAGTAACTCAGCAATGGCGGCTTGTCTTCTCTCGCGTGTCGACATATGGTGCACAACAGCGATGCAGATAACAAAGTCAGCGGCTCCCTTGCGATAAGGAAGTGCGAAGCCATCGGCGACAGCCACATCTACATCAGATACTCTAGGATCATGCTCGACACCGTCTTCCCGAGGCCGTCTCAGCTCAGTCCGGGCGAGCTGGACGAGAGCTGGACTCCGGTCGGAGCCAAGCAGGTGGACAGACGGGTTGACACGTAGATACTTGCCGTTGCCGCATCCCACATCGAGGCCGAGACTACCGGGCGGCTGAGATAGCAAAAAGCTGGCAACCCGAGGCCAAGGCTTATGGCGGGTGGCCGAGAAGTGCGGTGCGATGGCTTCGTAGACTGCGTGAACGTGGGTGGCCTCGTACGTCTCTGGCGCCTCTTCCGCTGCAGACTGTGAGAAAGACTCTGGCTCTGTGGGGGCCGATGTCTGGTTGGTTTGTGTCTGAGAGCTGGGTTGCTGGAGTGGCCTGTCCTCTTGATCTCCAGCCGGCGTGGCCGATGAAGCACTTGCCATGATGGAAGACGATTAAAGGTTACGTGCGGGTTCTCTCTCTACAGGGCGCCTTGTGGGGTATAATCTTGTCTCTCGGATGTATCTGAAATGACCTAGAGA